ATAATCATCTCATATCCAACAAGCGCGAGTGGAATAATTGTTTTCTTAAAAAAAAAAAAAACACCCCCAAAATATTAGACAAATCTTCTCGGCTTTATTTTGTAAGAAGAAACCGGAGGTTACAATGTACAGATATTAGATTATCACGGGTATATTTGCTCATATACCACAATGGCTAAGCCAATAAAAAGTCTTGAATTGCATTATCCAAGAATCCGGTTTTTAATAATTGTGATTAGAGTCCACTTAAGGCGTAGTGGCCTAATGGTCAGTACACTGGACTCCGCATCGAGAGGTCTGGTTTCGAGAGCTGGCCGGAACAATGCAAGGCACTTTACTCTCACAATGTCTCTCTCTATCTCTTTGGGCCTCGCTCTGTTGTGTTTCCCACATCTTCATGTTGAAAGACATTAAATGAATAAAGTATGCCCAGATCTGTCGAGAAAATAAACACTTGATTCTTTATTGAAGACTTGAATAACGGGAATCTATGGCCGATAAACCACCTGATAGCCAAAGCCATTTCTTACTGTGAGCCTAGTTGATGATAGTGAATACGTTAAACGCGTTTGTACCAACTGACGATAACAGAACGACTCTTTGTTTTTTTTTAACAGTGAATGAATCGTTCGAATCCACAACAAGTCTTCCAATTCAGTGTGGGCCTCCTGATGTGTTCGAAGATGAGTCGCCCAGCAGTAAACGCAGTATCACCGTCAACACCGTGTCCACTAAAACCATACAGAGGAGCCGCAGTTTTGATTACAAGGTAAACCTCCCCCGCAGACATCACAACTATCGTCGTGGCCTTAGGTTATTACTCTCACCGTAACAAGCGAACCAGTGAAGCAATAATGTGGTGGGAGTAAAACGGAAATTGCAGTACAGTAGTTAATTAACTAATAAAATGAATTTTGATCGGGAGGGATTGAGGAAGAGAAGGAGCGGCACGGAGGGGGGATGGGTTAAGATGCGAGTTTCATTATCTTTTTGACGTTTTCGTAAACTAGAAATGTGAAAGTTGGTGGTGTGTTGGTGTGAATGAGAGACATTCTGTCAGAGTATTCTTTTCTTATGTGTTCTATTTTATTGTGAAGCGCATATGAACATTGTATGAAATTTGCGCTATACAAATTATTATTATTATTATTCATTGTGTTTGTTTTGTTGTTGTTGTTGAAGGATTCTAGAGAAATTCCCATCATACGCAGCAGTCCCATGTACGCATCCGAAAGGCATATAAGAACTGTTTCCCAGTTGTCTATAAAAGAAGAAGTGGTGCCATACAGATCTCAGCCTCACTGCGATCACCTTCTGCCGACAGATCCTTCCGTTCAGGAGGCAGTAGGTACGCTTTGAACTTATTTCATCTCTGTCCGATAGGCGCCAATTTTTCATACTTTTCTTCGTCGTAATATGGTATTCCGCGGGAATTTTCTTGGCCAGAATAAACAAAACAAAAATATAGAAAAATTCCAGATGACCGTAAATTGGGAAAAAAAAAAATTTCGTAACTGGTGGGGAACGGACGGCCTTTTACAGAGCACAGCCTAAGTGAGTTAAAATCGAGTAAACTGAGAGCAAATGAAGGGAGTGGCAGGGTGTTGGGTTGGCGCTTCATAGCTTCGGGGCGGCAGAAGACTTGACCAGCCTAAACTTAGGATCAAACTGCCTCCGCAAACCTGTTATTGCTATGGAAGTTAGCGAGTAGGACATAGTTATTTTATTAACACTTATGATACGTGGAGTGTCATTGAATGTCTGGGGACTATAGGTGAGTGCATGGCAGGAGGTTTTCTTATTCCGTGAAGGTTCTTGTACAGGTCGTACAACTAATTGTATTGATCAGTGTTGCTAGACTTTTGATATTAGTAAGTCTCGTAACGCATAAGGGCACTTTTTTTAGCGAGGAAATCACTGATTCCAGCCTTTTCATCCTATCATTGTAATTTATTAGCATTCAGAATAAAATTTCATACGTATTAGCTATACTGACTCACCTTTCATAGCATGAACCAACGTGCCTTGTAGAACTCAGAATAAAAAAAAAAATAAACTGTATTTGACAAGCGCGAGGGCCGTACTGGGAGAATATCGGCCCGAGGTCTTGACAGTACGGACCGAGCGCAGCGAGGTCCGTACAAAAAAGACCGAGGGCCGATATTCTTCCAGTACGGTCCCGAGCAAGCTTGGTTAATAAGAGATTTATTATACGACTGAAGTTCAAAGGGACACAAGTGCGGTATCATTCGGGACCATTCGGGACAGTGCCCGGTCCAATACTGAGAGAATATTGACCGGCAATAGAGCATTTTGATTGGTTGATTTTAGTTATTGGCCCTCTGACTGCCCGAACTCGTGTAAGAAGTCTTATTATTACCTTTAGAGATGAGCTTTTTCGACAAATATGAAGAAAATGAGCCTACGTTAAGGCCATTTCCCAGTTGGTATGGAGGGCTGGACATGGGAAGCTTACCTCATCTTTATTCACCCGCAAATCCCATCGAGGACTCTGACATGGATCGACTTCTGAGCATAGAGAACGAGGGGTTGAAATCTTGGAAGCGGGTGAAAAAATCTGGAGAGCTGGAGGTCTATTCGCGTAAAGGACTGGAGCGCGGTAGTCCGCCTGTTACCAAGGTAACCGACATAAATGTACCAAGATAATTTAGTTTTATCATCTGAGTTGATAATGTAAATTAGCCACGGTAAAGAGTTTAAAAGCTGATTTCTTGAGCGTTATCCCTTCGCCAGGCTTTCGCTATTCGCTCTAACGAAGGGCTGACGTTCGAAACGTCAGCATTTCAACTCTTTACTGTGTCAATTTACATTACCATTTAGTTGATAGAACCAGCACCACAGTTTCCTTAGTAACTTACCCCCTTTTGACATGATTGTAACCTTTGAGCATCGCTTGATGAAAATATCGTTCTTCGGGGGTATTCCTTTGTTCATAAGACTTCACTAACTCTTACGGTTTCGTTCTGTAACAGATATTAATCTGAGTAATGGCAGATAAAAACCATTCGGTTTTGAACTTTCTGTTATTGACAGTTAGCGACATGACAGCTTGTTTCTTTAAATTTTACAGGCAGTAATGGTCTTAAAAGATGTTCCATACAGAGATGGTATGTAACGTGTTCCAGACTCTTTATTATATAAACTACAGTGTTTTGGAATAGTTCCCAGCCCTGAGAAAAGCCGTAACAGCAATCGTTTGAAATTACGATAACCTTTTTTTACGTGTTTAATATCGCTAATCAGCTGCTGATACGTCACTCGCCTTTTGCGTCACTCTGTTAGGTTGATGAATGAGAGGCATAGCGTCCACCATTCTCAATCCAAGGTCATTTGTCGAGTTTTCTTGTCACTAACAGCTTATGGCGTTTATATGGTAGACAAAATGATACACGGTTGCTTGTAGATGTGACATTTCTCTACGAGGTTAACACTCGAAGAGAAATTCCATATCTAAGCACGCCCAGATATTATTCTCTACGTATTTATTATCCTCGATTTTACGACGTGCAAGTTTCCTGAAGTTGGATGCGATTATTGAATGTACAGTGAGAATAATCCCGCCATCCAGTTAAAGGTGCTATCAATTGCTTTTTTTTTTTTAGTGTAGAATATGAGCTTCCATCGCTAACTATCACTCAAACATTTTTCTTTTTTTAGCGATTGATTTAGTTTCTGACTGGGATGAACGGACTCAGTGGGACAAAACATTTGACGGCGTCTCATTTCTGGATCAGATGGCGGACTTTAAAGTCTTGAAATGGTGAGTTAAAAAGCGTAATGAATAACAGGAAGTAAATTGAATGAGAGGTGGTATTATCATTTAGATAGAATATCTTTGTTTTTGTTTTGACTGTGTAATGTTCGCACTGCAATTGTATATTCACAGCTATCAGAAGAAAAAACATCGATGTGTAGTGTTGGCCACCTTAGATCGAGAAGATGAAGAACCGTATTACGCATGCGCATGGAAAGGAAGCACCCATCCGAGTGTTCCTGGGGAGGATAACAAACTCAATGTGATGAGGTCCGTAATGTGTTAACTTCACTTCAGAATTCTCTTCTTATCTTTTAAATATTAGAAATTCGTTCATTGGCTGAAGTTTCTTATTAAGAAACGGTTACTATCTTTTTTGATACTTTTCCCCTCCTTCACTTCGTAAGTGATTATATTGGTGAGACTTGCAGATTCTCTTTTCCAAATAAGAATAATTGTTCTATCATATGAAGCCTCGCTATCCTTAAAATCGTGACTCCTTTACCCGATAGTCAAACAAAACCACACCTGGCAAAAGATTACGAGCCGTCCCTGCTTTTCGGCGGACTTCGTCGCGCGGGTCAAAAAGAAAGAGGGACCGCTTGTAGTCTAATCTGGCACGGATGAGAATATTCAAAAGTTTATCCGATCTGGCGAGTGAAATATTGTCCTAAGTTTTTCTCGGTTAATCAGTAATGAAATCGTATGGAGGTTAAATCCAGGTTAGCGTATGAAATTTGTATACCCAGACAACATGTTTTCGACCAATCTATGCGACTTGATTTCTTATGTAGACTGGAGACAGGTATCTGTGGTGCCATTATCCGCCCTTATCACGATGCTACCAGATCCTCGAAAATCACAATTATCACACAAGTACGAGGCTCTATTCCTAGTCCTCTAAAGAGCACGTTCTTGACGGGTAACCCCAGCAAGTGGCTGATTTGGCTAAAAAAACATCACGACACACGAGCTAAGGACATCGTGGAGAAAGTGGAGAACGAAGATGATACGAACAAAGACGAAGCCTCTTCGGTTTCATCCAGGTCGGAGAATCAGAATTAACGAGTACAGAGACAATTTTGAGAACATTGTGACGTTAGCTGTTTATTTTTTACAATTTAGGGTAATGTTTGGCAAAATATCTATAAAAAACAATTTCGGCCCGTAGCAGTTGAGAGCTCGTGCGTTATCAAAACTGGATTGTTATATAGGTAGCTTTTAAACATTTTTAAACATTTCAGTGCTTATCGTGCTTATTTTTCTTTCCCGCGCTTTTCCACACAACTGAGTGACGTGATAGTGCTATTAGCGGCGGTCAGTGGTAAGGTCAAAGTAGGTGTACGTTCGCAGGGTACGATCACACGTTATGGAAAGATCACGTGCGTTCTACGAACTCGAGCTTACGCCCCGCTCAGGTTTGAAACACATTAAAAGCGAATAGCAGAGATGGCAATTTCAAAACGGGTGAATTAAAAAATATTAGCTCGGCTGATAAAGGAAGAAAGAGAAGCTAGTGTTTTAAGGAGGAGGGGGGGTTATTATCAGAATGAATAATAAAGAGCTGACTTAAAACTATCAGAAAAGTCAGCCTTGACATCAAAATATAACTTTTGCACACATTAGATTAGTATTATAGACTGTGATAACTTGAGCATTTTCTAATGTAGCTCTCTATAGGAGCACCAAGAATACGTTATATAGCTGACCACATACACCTAGCATCATATTTGTATCTCAGATTAGTTCGTAAAGGCTGTGTGCCCACTTTTTTAAGAGTACCCGTGGCTATTTAATATTGCTTATAAACATTTACTCGCCTACTTTGAAATATAGTAGTGCAAAAGAGTATTGGTGGACAATAATTGGTAGAATGGGTCAGGGGAGGGACGGGTAGGTGCGCAGTTGCCCAGGTTGTTCATGGGTAGTTAATTAAGGTATAATGTGTATTTAATGAGTAGTATTTTTTACTTGAGAAATGAAAATGTTTGAGCTGTTAATCATAAGATGCGTGCACTAAAAACCTTGGGCTAAACGTTCATTGAAGAGTACGAAATCAAAGCTTAAGCCTCGCAATCTTTTTCGTAACATTGCTGGAATAAATTAAGTGTGTGTTGGATTTTGTAGTTCTTGTGGAAGATGACCATTAAAGTGCTATTCCACAGATTTTTTTTTATTTCATATTCAAAGTTCCTATTGTACAGTCAAATGCTTTACAAATTGACTTTGTATGTGGAAAAACTGTTGATGAGCTACAATGTGTGGCAAAATCTTGGCCCGCTCTACTACATGTACTTCATTAATTTATTTCGATAACTTTCATTTATTCCCCTCTCCTTTCATATCAATTTCCAGGGGTTACAAAATGGTCATAAATTTACGCAACATTCTTTGGTAGGGAGAGGAGAGGAGGGGGGGGGGTCTTTCAAATTCTGTTGTGAAGTCGTTTTGTCGTTGAAAACATTCTGTTACAATTGTTTTGATCACTCGTATAAAGATAAGCGGCCACTCTTCATTGGAATTTAACGGTTTATTTAATTTAAGCAGCAAAAATTTCATATCTATCTTTTAAAAAGTGTTACGCCAAGCTGAAAAGCATCTTTTGCACTCTTCGGAATTGAATTTTCTTTTATTGCGGTTATCACTTCCTCCCTAACGTTCACAAAACGTGAGGCAGCCGTTTTTAAGTTTCACGACCCTGTTACAATCACCTCGCGCTAGGTGATTATAGCGAAATACGACGCAATCCTCGACCAATCAGAGCGAGCGCATCTCTTTAATTAATCATCGCGACAATCATATTGATAGAGATTAATTGTAAGATTTCTATTTATCATGTTGGGTTGTGAGTTGTCGACCACCTAGTAAGGCAAAGGTGTTCCAACTACGTTTGCCACTCATTGTAGGCCAAGGTATTTTTCTTCAAATGCGAGAAAGAGACCTTTATTTATTCAGGGTAGCCCACTCAGGTGCCTTAAGCACTGCTATCAATTGAGGCCCTAAGTAAAGGAGGAACAAAAATATACTGAGGGTGCAAACGAGTTCTTGGTGATGGGACGTTATTCAGAGTAGCCCACTCAGGTGCCTTAAGCACTGCTATCAATTGGGGCCCTAACTAAAGGAGGAACAGAAATATACTGAGGATACAAACGAGTTCTTGGTGATGGGACGTTATTCAGGGTAGCCCACTCAGGTGCCTTAAGCACTGCTATCAACTGGGACCCTAACTAAAGGAGGAACAGAGATATACCGAGGATGCAGACGAATTCTTGGTGATAGGACGTTGATAACTGGAAAACATTCTCATTTCAAGTTCGTGGAAAGCCCACCATTGGTGTCGACTGATCCAATAGAGGTAGATTGATAAAGTCTTCACTCGTGCCAAGCGGCCCATCCAGGCAAATTTTTTCCCGGTTTCCTTGGCAAGAAGCAATTAGGAATATTACTGCTCCCTCCTGGGTGGGATGCCAGTCCATTCAACGTGAACTTATTCCTGGGTGTTTCGTCAACTTTCCCTGACGGTTCGCTAGTATCCATTTATATTCCTGGGTGGAGAGAGGCACTGTGTGAGTAAACTGTTTTGCCCAACAACACAACCCTGTCAGTGGCCCGGGGTCCATTTCTCGAAAGTCCCGGTAACTTAACGGGCCCATAAAGCTGTTCTGTTTTCATTCAAGATGGGGATTTCAAAAGTTTTGAAAATGATGCAATAAAACTATCAGCTAAAGAAACAAAAAGGACTGGTTTGGGTGCCAGATAGGCCTTTATAGATTATACAAAATGAAATCATCTATCTTACCTGTTTTATCATTCGGGACAGTGCCCGGTCCAATACTATACATTGGACTGGCAATGGAGCATTTTGATTGGTTGATTTTAGTTATTGGCCCTCTGACCCCCAGAGTCGTGTAATAAAATCATTTATATATCTCACCTGTTTTATCTTTTCCAATCTGCTTTCCAATCTTCTGGATAAATTTGTTCATCAAATTAGGCCTCTGAGTGTTGTCGATGCAGAATAAGGGTTTGACCACATGCTTCTCATATTCCATACCAGAAATTCTCTTCTGAATTTGTTTCTTTATTACTGCAATGTCTTTATCTGGTTTGTCAGCATGTGTGCCAACAATGAACACTGGGGGG